TTATTATTCACCACTAATAATAATTTTTTTCTTATTTATTACAAATAAAAACACGTCTGATGTGTTTATCTAAATGTTTTTTAGATTATTTTTTTATGACCGTTTTCGTTTCCTTCAGGGAGAGGTGTGTTCACCCAAAAACGCATTGAGCCATCCAGTTTCGTTGTTGAGTTTCGGGGGAACGTTTGTCGTCTCGAGGACGCCCCTGAAGAGGGGTTTGAAGATACTTTAAATGGTTTTGTGTTTGATTTTTCATGGAACGGAGCCAACTGGCGGTGAGTTTGTCTCTTAATTTTTTTATATAAGTATTTTTTCAGTYTTGGAAGCTCTTTAAAAGTTATTTCTGTCAGATTGTCTTTTAATAAAATACAGTTTGAGTAAAGCTGGAGGTTTCTTCCTGTTAAAAGGGAGTTTTTCCTTTCCACTATCGCCAACRCTCAGGATGGGAGACTGAGATGAAAAGAATCAACAGGATCTGCTGGTTTCTTTAGATTTGTAGTGTTTTTGGGTACAGTGCCTTGAGAACTTTGTTGTGACTTGGCGCTATATACATAAACAGGATTGAAATTGAATTGAATTAAAATGTGTTGTGATTTAATTTAAATGTCAGGCACTTCCTGTTATTGATCTAATCCAAACAGAGTTTCTAAAATTAAATCCTTTGTGATTTTATTTGTCTTGCAGCCTTGATGCTTCAGCTGAGGACAGGAGTTTAGGAAGACTTGTTAATGATGATCACRTCAATCCAAACTGCAAAGTGAAAAAGATTGATTACGAGGGGAAACCTCACCTGTGCCTGTTTGCACAGAGGAAAATATCACCTGGAGAGGAAATAACCTTCAGCTACGGGAACTCTTCCTACTCCTGGCGCTCAAATGTGACTTTATTTTSTGCACTTTGATCAATTATGATTAATTATGCACATTAATCTCACTGTTCTGCCTAAGTGTATAAAATGTTTTAATTAATGGACTCTGCTTTTAGGAAACCGGTGAAGATGAGAACATGTCAGAAGCTGCAGCGTCTTCCTCAGTGGATCCAAGTGTACGTGTTGCATCAATTCTAACTAGAGAAATTGYATTTCTTGTGAAAATTCTAGTGTAAATGTTTCCTGCTTTCAGCTAAAGTTTAAAGCATGTTCATTTGGAATATGAAAGAAGAATAAAAAGCTCAATTACCAGAAATGAACACAAAAAACAGAAATAATGAAAGAATAGCTAAAATAGCAGGAAAAAAAATCTAAAATTAGCACAATAGGAAGCTAAATGTAGCAGACACAGTTAAAATTAGCTTACAGATGGTGGAAGTGGTGTAAAAAAAGCTAAATTAGCTGAAAAAAAAAAGAAAACTAAATAAAACAACCAAAATGTGCATCAAAATGACTCTAATGTAGCTAAATGCTGAATTTAGCAGAAAGAAGCTGAAATGGCCTCAATGTGAAATTAGCATAAAAACTAACTTTAGCTAATAACAGCTAGCTAAAACTGCAGCAAACAGTTGAAATAAGCAGAAATCAACTCAAAGAAGCATAAAAAGCTCTAATTAACAAAGAGACACTGAAACACAAAGTACAATCTAGCTGTAGAATTTTAGCAAGAAATAGCAGAAAAAAGCTAAAATTAGCAAAAAAAAAGAAGCTTAATGTAGCACTAGGAAGTTAAAAAGAGCTGAACCATAACAAAATGTGCAGAGTGCAGTAAAGATTTATAAACATTTTGAAGGTTTTGAAGGATGTTAACAGCTTAATCTATTTTCAATGGGATAAATGTGGCTGAAATGTAAAATAGCTAAAAAATTATAAATAGCTGAAATGCCAAGTCCTAGCCGGGATGGTCTGAGATGCGTGCCAAAARGTTAAGAAAGAAAAACTGATCTCATTAGTTAATTATTATAGACAAACTGTCTTCAGAAAAACCCCTCGACAACTTTGGCAACCATAAATCAGACCAAGATAAAATCTTTATTTTCTTTTTCACTGCAACAAAACATGTCCACACTTTGGCACAAAAGGTTTTAATGTTGAGACTTTGAGAACAACTGGTAATCTTCTAAAAGCAAGGCTTGTTTTGTAATTTTCAGCTGCAACAGAAAGATAGAAAATTACCAGATTTATGTAGGGTTAGTTCCAACTGATGAGCATCATTTTTTTAAATTAGGAAATTACTTGTTTGTATTTTCAGGTTGACAACTCTGAAGAATCCTCCAGTTACAGTCAATCCTCYGGCGATGAATATGTCTGCGATGAAAAACCAGACAGTGATGACAGCTTCTCAGAGTCCGAAACTCAACTGAACGAYGAGACTAATGATTCGGACTCTGACGAGTTGGAAACCCCCACCTGCACTACCAAGAACTTCTGTTACTTTTGTGGAGCATCTGCGAAGAAAATGTCCCGTCACCTTTTCACCCACAGAGAGGAGGAGCCCGAGATTGCCGAGGCGTTTTCTTTACGCAAACGAACCAAGAGACGGAAAAAAATTCTGAGGAAGTTCATCTACATAGGGAACCAGAAACACAACGAGGAGGTCTTAAAGACTCAGAAAGGATGTCTGAAAGTCAGAAGGATGTCRTCAGACCCGTTGTTTCTAGAAAAGTCTGCCGCTTGCATTTACTGTAAAATGTTATTTRTCCGCAAGAGTCTTTGGAAACATATACGTACATGTCCCCTAAAGGTCTCAACCCCTCCAGCAGGAAGTAGAACACAGATCCTGTCTTTGGTTTCCACAGGATTAACRTACCCCCAGTTCATGTCTTCAGAAGTGAGGGAGATTTTGGAAAAACTGGAGATTGAGACTGAATCTTCAGTTTTYAAGGATATTTACATACAGCAGCTAGCACAGTGTTTTGATTATCTGTTCAAGGGAAAAAACAAAGAACAAGAAATCAGGAGGAGGTTGAAGYTAATGGGAGACCTTTTGTCAGCATTAATTGGAAAGTCTATACTGACCTTTGGGGATGCTCTAAAACCTCAGAACTTTGACAGCGTTGTTGAAGCCATCAAGAACCTGATAGACTTCAACAACGATAAGAGCAACTACAAAAATCGCTTGTCATTCCTGGTAACCAGCGTCAGGAAAATGGCTGACATTAAATACGCCATGGCTCTGAATGAAGGTGTCGACATAGAGATGATGCAGGAAGCAGAGGAGTTCATAAAGCTGTTTGTAAAAGAATGGCACATCAACGTGCCAATTCAGCTGAAAGTTCCCTGCCCATCGACTCTACCCTTCATCCAGGATGTTCAGAATCTTTACAAAYACTTACATGATATCCTAACTTCTGCAGTCAAAAGTATGACCTTGTATGCAAGTATGCCCGTCTACAAGGCACTWCTCAAAATTATCCTCGCGTATGTGGTAATCTTGAACCGAAATGTCCAAGATGTCTCAGATGTGACCCTCCAATCCTTCCTGGAGAGAAATGAAACCAGGCCGCTGGAAGGCTCAAATGAAACCAGGTTGCAAGAAAGCTCCGATGAAACCAGGCTGCAGGAACCCCCAAATGAAACCAGGCCGCAGGAACCTTCAAATGAAACCGAGCTGCATGAACCATCAAATGAAACCGAGCTGCAGGAACCCTCAAATGAAACCGAGCTGCATGAACCATCAAATGAAACCGAGCTGCAGGAACCCTCAAATGAAACCGAGCTGCAGGAACCCTCAAATGAAACCAGGATGCAAGAAAGCTCCGATGAAACCAGACCTCAGGAACACTCAAAGGAAAGCGAGCTGCAGGAAAGCTCAGATCCTAACCGGTCAGCTGAGGATTTTTTGTCCAAATTCACTGTGAAGATTAGCGTTGCCAATCAAAAAGGAAAAATAAAGGATCTGGTCCTGACCCCTGACCTACTTGCCGCCATCACGTTGCTTGTGGAGAAGAGAAAAACCTGTGGTGTACCTGAAAACCACCCYTTCTTATTTGCAAGACCGGGCACCTCATGTTCAGACGTGCTCAAACCATCGAAAACAATCTTCGGTTTTCTAAAATTATCCCAAGTGAAAGATGCAATGAACATCAGGTCTCCGTATTTTCGTAAGCACACTGCAACAATTTTCCAGATTCTTAACTTAAGCAACGAGGACTTCGGTCAGCTAGCCAAGCTGCTGGGCCGGGACATTCGAACCGAGAACGAGTTCTATCAGAAACCGGAGGCAGCTCCAGACGTCGCACGAATCTTAGTTCTGCTCTCTGCAGCAGAGACTGGATATCTGGAAATATTCGATGGGAAATCTTTGGAGGAAATAGACGTTCCAGGTGTGTTCCCTCTTCAAATAATTTGAGACGGGGGTCTCTGCAATCACAAAGTACGAGTTTCTTATTTTGTGGGACATAAAATGATTGGTCTGTTTGACRTTTGTGGGCATGATTTACCCAAGATGTGATTGGTCAGATTGACGGTGGAGTAGCTCGGTTGAAACGGCCAGGAAGTACCAATATTTATTTAAATATAGATAGTAATATTAGCCATTACTTGTGACAGGAAGGTGCTAACTGCACAAAATTTGAACGACGTACATGTGGTAGGACGTGGCTCGGCCGAAACAGCCCTAACCAGCCTGTAAAAAGATTGATAAATGCGAAAATGACTTAACATTAGTCAGGAAGGTGCTTGCTGCATGAAAGTTATGGCTGTCTCTCAGTTCATGGCCTGCATCCTCATAAGTGCACATTTGCCGGCTGCATATGTCACTGCCCCTTTCCGAGTGCTGCCCCWTTTCACAGCAGATGTATGCAGCCTATCCGGACTAGGAACGATGTAGCCCAGGTGGGCTTTGTACTCATTGAGACACAGCCAATGTTCACGTTCACAATAATTTTTATTTGAGTCATTGTTCTTTTTTACTGTACATAGTCAATAMAACATATTATTTTACTATTTCCATTATTATTCTTTTAAGTTGCCCCAAAAGGCAAGTCAGTTTGACCAATAGTGGTTAGGACAAACTCCACCCATACACCAACTCTGCCAATCATGATTAGGGCTAACTCCGCCCACACACCAGTTCTGCCAATCATTGTTAGGTTAAACTCCGCCCACAGAACAACATGTACTGCAGAGATCCCTACTTGAATAATTTACATTTTTTACCAAATCAAACTAAAACATTGCATCACAACAATCAATCAAAACAAATTTAAAATAAAAAACTTAATTTTCTGCCAAAACAGTGTGAATTTGTGCAGGCAGTTGTTGAAGAATCTGACACCACGTTGTCTAAGCTGATAGCAGAATACTAGCTAAAATTGGTAAAAAAGCTACTAAAAACTAAAAGTAGCAGAAAGTTRCAAGTGGYCTGTRTTAGAATAATTTATAGTTTATGTTSTTGTTTYRTTTGTTTGGATCTTAYTTAAGGTGATTCTGATATAAATTTTTACAGATAAGCTGCAGCCGGTGGTGGAGTCGCAAAAAAAAAAATCTAAAACTTCTCAGGAGGACGGTGCGTATCTCGAGTTCCTTCCCGCGAGTGTCTGTTTTTATGTCTGCTTTTTTTCTATTAAACATGTTTCCAAATTTAGTTTACTCACTTGGATTGAACATTTTAATCGTCGTCCAAGCTTAGAAAATTTTTTAACAATATAAAAAAGGAAAAGCATTTTTCACAAGTTTATTAAAGCCACTAATAAACACTTTGGTGGTGACGTGGATCTGCTCTTTCTGGGGTTCTTGTGTCCTCCAGGTGTTTCTACAGCTTCAAAAAAAGCAAAAAGAAGTTCTTCGGCGAAGAGCAAAAGCAAGAAGGAGGAGAAAGAAATGGAGGAATCTGAGCTGAACGAGAACAGCGAAACAGAAATGGATCAAATCCCAGAGGAGAAACCAGAGAAGAGTGCAGAGGATGCTTCTGAGGACACGCCTCCTCAGAGCAAAGACACACCTCCTCAGAGCAAAGACACGCCTCCTCAGAGCAAAGACACGCCTCCTCAGAGCAAAGACACGCCTCCTCAGAGCAAAGACACGCCTCCTCAGAGCAAAGAGACCGCACCTCAGATTTACTTCAGTGACGATGATGATGATGACATGAACGTGGAGTTTAACATGGACTTCGACACAGATGGTGACGATGATGATTATGGCTCAAACAGATTGGAAGTGAAGCCTGAAGATAAACCTGAGGAGAGGAAGCAGAAAGGTCCTGCAGAGGAAGAGGAGTCAGAGAGAGAAGATGATGAAGACGAAGCTGAGGAAGACACCTGGATGGATGTGGACAGTGATGATTCCTGTCCACCGAGGACAGGTGAGTCCAACCCTTTATGAAGTTCTTGATGTCGTTCGTGTGTGAAAAATAAACTATAAACSTTTTCTGAATTTTATTACGTTCAGAAAGGAAGAACAACTTAGCAGCCATGTTGGAGATGATGAAAGAAATMAAGATAATCGTCCCAAGACTCAATCTCGTGAGTATTCTTTGCTTTAGTTTGATCAGAATTTTATTTTTATTTTTAATCTGTCACATAACTTTTCTTTACTTGTATCTTGATTTATCTTTAGGAGAAAACTAAGTTTCCAGTCCTCGTTTCCAAGTTAAATCTGAGTAGCCAGCAGCCGGTCGATGAGCAGCCGAAGGACCAGCAGCCGGTCGAYGAGCAGCCGAAGGACCAGCAGCCGGTCGACGAGCAGCCGAAGGACCAGCAGCCGGTCGACGAGCAGCCGAAGGACCAGCAGCCGGTCGACGAGCAGCCGAAGGACCAGCAGCCGGTCGACGAGCAGCCGAAGGACCAGCAGCCGGTCGACGAGCAGCCGAAGGACCAGCAGCCGGTCGACGAGCAGCCGAAGGACCAGCAGCCGGTCGACGAGCAGCCGAAGGACCAGCAGCTCATCTCAGAAGACCAGAGGAAACAGACTCCCACATCCAAACAGGAAATCAACGAGCCAAACGTCAAAAAGGTTTGCAGACGGTTCAGTCTGTGGTTTGTTTTCACAGCCGCAAAATGTYACAGGAACCAGAAAACACCTGGCTAACCGCTAAAAGGAGCAGAAGACTGGCTGCAAGCTTAAAGGGACAAAAGGCTTACTACAAGCTAAAAGTAGCAAAAGGTTAGCTGCAAGCTAATAGGAGCAAAAGGCTAGCTACAAACTCAAAGTAGCAGAAAGTTAGCTGAATACTAAAAGGAGCAAAAGGCTAGCTATAAGCTAAAATGAGCAAAAGGTTAGCTACAAACTCAAAGTAGCAGAAAGTTAGCTGCAAACTAAAAGGAGCAAAAGGCTATCTAAAAACTAAAAGTAGCAAAAGGTTAGCTACAAGCGTAAAGTAGCAAAAGGATAGCTGCATTCTAAAAGGAGCAAAAGGCTATAAGCTAAAATGAGCAAAAGGTTAGCTACAAACTCAAAGTAGCAAAAGGCTAGCTACAAACTCAAAGTAGCAAAAGGTTAGCTACAAGCTTAAATTAGAAAAAGGCTAGCTACAAACTCAAAGTAGCAAAAGGCTAGCTGCAAGCTAAAAGGAGCAAAAGGTTAGCTACAAGCTTAAAGCAACAAAAGGTTAGCCACGAGCTTAAAGCAACAAAAGGTTTGCTACAAGCTCAAAGTAGCAAAAGGCTAGCTACAAACTCAAAGTAGCAAAAGGTTAGCTACAAGCTTAAAGTAGCAAAAGGCTAGCTACAAACTCAAAGTAGCAAAAGGCTAGCTGCAAACTCAAAGTAGCAAAAGGCTAGCTGCAAACTCAAAGTAGCAAAAGGCTAGCTGCAAGCTAAAAGGAGCAAAAGGTTAGCTACAAGCTTATAGCAACAAAAGGTTAGCTACAAGCTTAAAGTAGCAAAAGGCTAGCTACAAGCTTAAAGTAGCAAAAGGCTAGTTACAAGCTTAAAGTAGCAAAAGTCTAGCTGCAAACTAAAATGAGCAAAAGGCCAGCTACAAACTCAAAGTAGCAAAAGGTTAGCTACAAGCTTAAAGTAGCAAAAGGCTAGCTGCAAACTAAAAGTAGCAAAAGGCTAGCTGCAAACTAAAAGGAGCAAAAGGCTAGCTGCAAACTAAAAGGAGCAAAAGGCTAGCTATAAACTAAAAGATGTTGATGATAATCTGCAGGCGGTCCTGATGACGTGCTCCGGCTGTAAAAAGCACATGATGAAGGGACACACAGCMTATCAGAAGAAGGGCTTCACTGATGTTTTCTGCTCTAAAACCTGCCTGTTTGAGATGTTTCCTGCCAACAAAGCTGCCTCCAGGACCTGTTTCTACTGCTTCAGGTGACTCCTCAAAGWTTCTTATCCTCTCCAGTTAGTTTAGTTACTTTAGTTTTACAGTTCCTGGACTCTACAGAGTGAAATATGAGGATCTGTAGCAGGTTCTCCTTGTTCTGCTCTCAGGGAGGTGTCTCGGCCTCTGGACCTCATCATGGCTGCTGTGGACCRTAAAGGGACCATGAAGGACTTCTGCAGCATCACCTGCTTGTGTTCCTTCAAGTCGAAGCCCAGGACCCAGCAGACCCCTCCATGCCACCCGACAAATGTGTCCACGGCGTCCACGCAGACGTCCTCGTTCSTCTGCAGGACGTGCAGCAGCAGCTGCTCCGTGAGACAAAAAAAAACACGTTTATTTCTACTTCCTGCCGAGCGGTTCCCCGTCTGACTCCACTTCCTCCYCTGATTCTAGACGGAGCTGGAGCTGGAGCTGGGAGACGCCATCCACAACTTCTGCAGCGACGTTTGTCTGGACGCTTTCTGCCGGGACGCCGTGGGCGTGTGTGACGTCTGCAGCTCCACCTGCCGTCAGAACCGGCTGACGCTGCAGCTGGAGGACGGCTCAAAAACCCTCTGCAGCCCAGAGTGCCTGGTGGGGTTTAAAGAGGTGCAGAAACGTCACAGAAAAAGATGGATTCAGAGCTTAYTTAGACTTTAATCTCAGAATTCCAAGGAAAAAAAATCAGAATTCAGGTGAAAACTGATWCTTGCTTCTCGTCGTCTCTGCAGACCACCGAGTCGACCCACCTGTGCTCGTTGTGCCGCACCTCTCTGCCCCTGAAGGACTTGGTGGACTACAGGAACCCTCAGAACGAGGTGAAGCTCTTCTGCTCCAGTTTCTGTGTCAGGTCTCACAAAGTGCAGCTCCAACTTCTGAACGACTCTCAAACTTCTGGACCAGGTTTGTTACAGAGATTATTTATTTTTCTCCTCTCACTTAATTTATGGATTGAAACAGCTGAAGCTGAGGCTAAATGATGAAAGTTTGACTTAAAATCACATCAAAGAACAACAGGAATGTGTTGTTTTTGCCCTGTCCTGTCACTCATCTGTCCTTTGCCCAAAAACGACAATGCTGGGTGCAGTTCCATATCCAAACAACAGAGGCGCTAATGAGCCAAATAGAAAAGTCCAGCATGAATCAAGCTGGCAGAAGTATTTTTCTTTTCTTAAAAATTGGAAAAATCCTGTAGAAAAAAGTATTTTAACTCACAAATCTTGGCTGGATTATCT